GTCTATAAGACTTTACTTTGTTTGAGGACAAGGAAAAACCTTAGTTTATATCTAAGTCTCTAAGCATTTACATTGTTTGAAGATAGGTAAATGGTTGTTCAAGTCTATAGATTTTTGCTCTGGGATAGGTAAATATTAACTGTCTATATTTGATTTTTCAATCTATGATCACTATCTGGTTACAAGGTTGGGAAAACATTGGGGTTTATATTTGAGTCTATAAGTATTTACCTGATTCGTAATTAGGTAAATATTGATTGCTTATATTTGAGTGTATAAGCTTTTACTTGAATTATGATTAGGTAAATATTTGTCGCTTACAGCTGTGTCTATGAGGCTTTACCTGAATAGAGATTGGGTAAATAGTGGTCGTTTAGACATGAATCTATAAGCCTTTATTTGAATAGTGATTAACTAAACATGGGTCATTTATATTTAAGTCTATTAAGCCTTTACTTCACTCGTGATTAGGTAAATATTAGTCAGTTATATTTTAATCTATATGCCACTAATGAATCCTTGATAAATTTTGTTCGCTTACTTGACTCGTGAATAGGGAAATAATTCTTGGTTATATTTGTATCTATAAGTCTTTACTTGAATAGTGATTCGATATTAGGTTGGTGCAAAAATAATGTCGTTTTTTTATGTTAAGTTGAACGTCAAAAAACGACATTATTTTTGCACCAACCTAATAAACATTAGTCGTTTAAATTTAAGCCTGTAAGCATTTAGTGAGTGAGTAAATATTTCTCGATTATATTTGTGTCTATAAGCTTTTACTTGTTTTCAGGGATATGCAAATTGATCCTTTATATTCCAGTCCTTAAGCATTTGCGTTGAGGATAAATAAATATTGTTCGGTGCTATATGAATGTTTAAACGTTTCAGTGATGCGGAAATATGAAAGCATTTTTGGTGGGCAGCTTTCTCCATTTGGTTTTTTTTTTTTTTTTTTTTCAGCAGAATTAATCGGTTTATTTTAAGCCGCACTGACGGGGCAAAATGTATTGGTGGAGTTAATAAGGTTACCAAGTAAAACCCAGGCCGCCCGCTGATAATCAACTGGATAAACATCTGAAGTAAACGAGAAGCTACGTTAACACAAATTCTAATTTTCATAAGCATGGATGAGCAAAGAACACTTGATAGGCGAAACGGAATCTAGAAATAACAGCTGAATTAAATGTATTATAATGATTTACTATAAAGCCACATTATACAAAAGAATGGAACAGTAAATATCAAAACATAGATAGATAGATAGATAGATAGATAGATAGATAGATAGATAGATAGATAGATAGATAGAATTAGAAAGAGTGCGATGGACAGAAATTTAAACAAACTGAAATGAATGTGATTACTGAAATAAATACATAAACATGAATAGACTGATATATATATATATATATATATATATATATATATGTGTGTGTGTGTGTGTGTGTGTGTGTGTAGAGAGAGAGAGAGAGAGAAAAAGAGAGAGACGAATAGATAAAAGATAGATAGATAGATAGATAGATAGATAGATACGAACAAACTGAGATAGAGAGTTAGAGAGAGAGAGAGACTAACAGTTAGACGGATAGATAGATAGATAGATAGATAGATAGATAGATAGATAGATAGATAGATAGATAGATATGAATGAATAGTGTGATAGAATGAGAAACGGTGCGATGGATAGAGATTTGATCACACTGAAATGCATGTGATTACTAAAATACAGAGACATGATCAGATTAAATTATATACTGATAGATAGATAGATAGATAGATAGATAGATAGATAGATAGATAGATAGGGATGAAAACTTCATAAGCTCAATATAAAGAAATGATTCTTCAACTGTAAAATCTTGCATGCAATAATCCTTTCTTTCCTGATAAACAGACATCTGTCTGTTCAACGAAGACTTCAAAAGTGTTATCAAATACCCGCAGGAAAACGGTTTAGCCACCTTTTACATTCCTGCTGACAGGATTACTACATTAGGGTGTAACCCTCCAGCTTTATCAAGAGTGCAAAAGAGTGCAGCTGAAATTTGGGGGCGGGAGGGAGAGTTTTGAAAAAGACGCAATATCATGAAATTCTCCAATTGCCACCACTTAGGAAAACATTGATTGTGTTCACCACATGATGGTAGATGACAGATGATTGGCATTAAATCAAACAGCCAAAGCTATTAGCATATTCCATGAGAGAGTTGAGAATATTCTGCACTGAATTTGGCATGACGAAGGTTTCTGCTCGATAGGTGCCGCGTCTTCTGACAGCTGATCAAAAGCGCACCAGATTGATCATATCACGGGAAAATATGACATTCTGTCAGGCAGACCCAACTGGCTTCCTTGAATGTTTCCTCACACAGAAAGTGTGTTGGGTTCATCACTTTTAGCACGAGACAAAGGGACAATTCCTAGAGTGGAAGCATCTCTCTTCACCTTCTCCAAAGAAAGCTAATATCGTTTCCTCTGCATGGAAGGTGATGGCCTTAGGTTTTGGGGGTGAAAAATGAATTGTTTTTATTGACTATCTTCAAATGGGCCACATCATCATTGGAGAGTACTATGCCAACTTGCTGAGGTAGTTACGAAAGGTTATCAAGACCAAACGCCTAGGTGAAACTGACGAAAGGGGTCTTGTTTCATCAGAATATAGCTCCAGCACTCAAGTTCTTGGTTTCAATGGTTAATTTGACGTGGCTTTGGACTGGTTGATCATCATTGCTACTCTCCTGATTTGACTATCATCTATTCCCCAACAGGAAAAAACACTTGACGTGAAATCAGTATCAGCTGTTGATGGCTTTTCTAAACAACAGGATGAACAACTACTTTGAACAGTCAGATGTAAGTTTAAGGAAGCAATGCAATTATTAATAATTATTAATTGAAATTAATGCATTCAACTTTTCAGTTATACACGTATCTTTCGATACATGATTGACGAGGCAGATTTTTCCCGCAGTAGGTTGCCATTTCTTTCAGCAGTAGACCAGTTGCCATCCAAGAGTGGAACGAGCTAATAATTGCTGTTGTTCCCGACGTCCTCCCTAACCGGGGGTGATAGCAGCTGTTAAGGTCCCAACTATGGATAAAGAGTTAGCCCCCAAACTGGGGTCAAAACAGCGTAAAAATAATTCTTAATACCAGAAATACTTTGTAAATAAATTTATTACCAGCGATACATTTTTGAAAAAGAAAGATATTTCCACCAATACATTTTTGAATGAAAAATATTACCAGAAATAAAAATTTTTTCGGCATTAATTAACCCATTGAGGTTGATATGCCTGAAAAATTAAATTGTAGAGTAGTTTTCACAGAGGAGGCTTGTATTTCAATAAGTCGTCCTAAATTATGTTCGACGTACAAAACGTTAAGAACTTGAAAAATAAGAGTTAATGACGCAGCAATCTAGTTGTGATTGTTGATACTTCACTGAGCCCAACTGGCCATTGCTACTACTACTTATTATCTGTGGGAGAGTCTATTACAATAGAATAGGTATTATGGTATAACAACTTATCAAACCAAACAAGTTCGATTCCTATCAGAGGAGGCATATTTTCTACGAGATTTCTTGAATATTCGGTTCGATAAATTTAATTAATAGTTTTATTAAAACAGATTTTTTACTCATATGTGTTGTATTCATAAAAATAACCTACAAACAGAAAATATATTAAAATAGATAGATATGAATAGACTGAGATATATACATGTCCAATCTCACATAGATGTAAGTTTACAGGAATAGATCGATAGATAGATATCATCTAATTTAGATGTACATATTTGTGCCTATCTTTGAATATAGATGCGATTTTTTTTCTTTAACTATTTCATGAATTCTCTCCCTTGAAGAAGCTTGGCCTTCTTTTGATTATTTTTATATTTCTTCTCAGAGAAACATACGCTTCCTCCCCCGCCCTCCGGTTCGCTGTTCCTCCCACACATAATCATAGTTTAGCGTACGAAATGTGTGTCTGATTGTGTGTCAAATTTCTTTGATATCAAAGGACAGGAACCTTTTTTTTCTTGTTCCTCTCTTTTATTCACTTAAATCTCCCTCGGCCGATAAAGCGTAACTTGTTTTTCAAACGAACCTCTGTGATAAAAGCGCGCGCAATTGAACGAAATGTCCAAGAACAGCGTACATTTTGACTCATATCAATCGCTTTATTACACCGTTTCGTTTCTTCCCTCACGCATGCTCACAAAGAGGCACAAATATATGTTATTTCTTAAGCGTACATTTCAATTACATTTGGTCACATTATATCAATAGTCATCGATACATTAAATCGATTTTGTCTGTCGACTATCGGTCTGTCTCTAATAAACTAGTATTAATCCAAAACTAAAGCCATTCAGGCTGTGATAATCTCTGCAGATATCACTGGAGCTATTTGCATCTGTTGCCGTTTGTTCGATCACAAAGTGAAGATTTCTATCTATCAATCTCAGGCTAAACATCGAAATCGTTTTTGAAGGGGCTTTTGATCGGGCTACGAAAGTTTCAGTACCCATCGAATAAATTAATATTTTTTTTTCTAAAGGAATAGATATTTTTATTTATTAATCCGACAGATTTTTTATCAATTTAAGAGGTTTTTTAGTGGATACTCATATTTAAAAAGACGCTCCGTTAATTTATTAAACAGTATATTTCTCGACTTTCGGCCTGAGTGTTCGAGAAATCGTATTAAAAGAAAAATATACGTTCTTCAGCAGGATTTGAACCTGTGTTGCTCTGGGTAACGGGAAACCGTCGTTAGATCCGACGTGCCCCATATATAAACAAAAGCAATATAATTGCTTTGATGTCTGACTGAATGACGTAAAACATTTCTTTGTTACAACCGCAGAGGAAGAACTAGTCAGGGCTGGTCAGATCCATGGAACATGGTGGCCAGTTTATTCTGCAACCGTGAGAACTTATTATTTTCCCCAAAATGTGCCTGTGCAGCTGGACTGTGACCCATGTTTCTGAGTTGTTGCCCCATCTTGTTGTACAGAAAGGCATTTAAAAATTCGTTGGAGTGACGTCGACGAAATCCAAAGCTGTCGATTTGGTTTGGTTTGGTTTATAGCATATCAACCTCAATGGGTTATTTAATGCTAACAATCTTCATTGCTGGTAATATTTTTTTTCTTTCAAAAATCTATTCCTGGCAATATTTTTTATTTTTCAAAAATATATCGATGGTAATATTTTTTCCAAAAAATTTTTTTTTTACAAAGTATTTCTGGTATTAAAACTTATTTTTACACTTTCATAGTATTTGACTATTTGCTCATAGCTGGGACTCTTACAGGTGCTACCACCCCGAGCCAGGGTAGACTTGGAAACACCAGCAATTAAGAGCTCGTTCCACGCTCCTCAAAACCTCCTGATCAGAGGCCTTGTCGTTTATCGTCTGACCCAGGACACGGATGTAGTTTATCGTCATACCTAGAACGCGAAACCTGTCGAGACCGCTTTCAAGTTGATGATCATCTTCGATACTCTCCCCTCGGAAATAAGATAGATATCATCAGAGTATAACGTCTTAAAAAATACGTAACTTTTGTCTCGAGATTAAAATACCAATAATCAGCATTAATACATACTCTAAAAAAAGGCAGATCTCATATGTAAAATTAGCAACGAAAAGAAAATCATCTTCTGCTACCTACACTGCAACACTTCTCTAAATCCAAACAATCACCAATCATAACTTGAAATTAAAAAAAAAGTTCTTTAAAAACGCCAAAATTTAAAAATGAAAATGATTTTTAAAAAATGAATAAATATAAAATGAAAATAAACAATAAATAAACAAATAAATATGAAATAAAAGGGAGAGCGTACAGAAAATGAGTACCGCAGTGAAAAGACCAGTGAATAGATAGATAGATAGATAGATAGATAGATAGATAGATACGACTATTATATTTTATAGATAAGCAGAGAGAGAGAGAGAGAGAGAGAGGACAGACTGGGATAGACAGATATTGGTATTAAAAGAATGAGATAGAAAGATAGATAGATAGATAGATAGAGAGAGAGAGAGAGAGAGAGAGAGAGAATAGACTGAGATATGAAAAGTGTGAGATAGATAGATAGATAGATGTGAAAAACAAATAAATACGAACAGAAACAGATATATGAAAATACTGAAATAAGTACACATAGATAGATAGATAGATAGATAGATAGATAGATAGATAGATACGACTCATATTTTATAGATAAGAAGAAGGAGAGAGAAAGGACAGACTGGGATAGACAGATATTGGTATTAAAAGAATGAGATAGATAGATAGATAGATAGATAGATAGATAGATAGATAGATAGAGAACAGACTGAGATATGAAAAGTGTGAGATAGATAGATAGATAGATAGATAGATAGATAGATAGATAGATAGATAGATATGAAAAAAACGGAGACAGATAAATATGAACAGATAGATATATTGAAATAATGAAATAGGTACACTGAGATAGATATGAACAGAGAAAGATGAATACGAACAGCGATAGATATATGCCAATACTGTAATATGTGCACAGAGATATGAAGAACTTGAGATAGATAGATAGATAGATAGATAGATAGATAGATAGATAGATAGATAGATAGATATTTTAGCAAGAGATTACACAGCTTCAGTTCTTGATAAAGTTAACACATTATTCAAGTCTCATATCTTAGGAAAACGGCAATAGAAAAAAGAAAAATAATTGGCGTGAACATTATTATTGTCTCAAGTAGCCTTTATAGCATATTTCAGTTGTTACTTTTAGGCGGGAGTTGAATGGATGGGAAATCGTTGCAAGTTTTATGTACGTATTTATTCAAACGGATAAATTAAAGATAAACAAAGTGGTTTGAAAAATAAGACCAGATCCCTTGTCGTCTGTGTTGTTTTCATTTCATTAATGAAGACAGCCCTTGTTGCAACCAAACACGTCAGTTACTAAGAATAATCGCGCGGATTTTCCCGCGTAAACACGATGCCATGTCGACCATCTTTCAATCGAAATCTTTTATGTTTATCGTTAGTTCGAATAGGCAAGGCTTTTCTTGATTGGATTTGATCAGTGCAAAGAATGTTAAAGTATAATTTCAAACATATAATTTAAAAACTGAATATATATATATATATATATATATATATATATATATATATATATATATATATATATATATGAAAATTTTCTTAGAGTTAACCTGGAGAAAAGCCAATATGTATAAAGTTAAGCGACATTAGGAAAACTTTATTATTAACTGAGGCCTTTTGTCCAACGTGGACTTTTTTCAAGACAAAAACGAAATTATATATATATATATATATATATATATATATATATAGAGAGAGAGAGAGAGAGAGAGAGAGAGAGAGAGAAAGAGAGAGAGAGAGAGAGAGAGACAAACCTCTCATCTACGGACCCCCATCAACGGACTTCGGATAAAACGGACAAAATCGGCAGGCAAAATAAAAAAAAGATATGTAGTTAAAAGTAAACTTCCAAATCGTCAGTGAGGTATTTCAAAATTATTATTAGTCGTATTAGTTCTCAAAGTGACCGCTTGGCGGCGGTGGCGGCGCTCTTAATTGTAAACAAAGACGGGTGTACAGTATATAAAGTACAATACATTAGCGCATGCGTGAAAAAGTAACTCTGAGAAATCAATTATTTTTGCTATTTTCTTTGATATATCTATATGAAGTATAGATTTATTAATGTCATATATACATATTTATTGTATTTACATTATGACATTAACTACTGAAAGTGACTATAGTGGTTTTATAACTCAAAAATAACCCATTCTCATCTACTGACAATCGGTTTAACGGACCACTCCATTAGTCCGTTGATGAGATCTTTGTCTGTATATATATATAATAATAATCGACTCTCCCGTCGAGATTCGACGTATGAGGGTCAAGCAGATCAGTTTCCAGGAAACCGATCTCCCGACACCGGCACATGAGATTTGTATTATAGTGGTGAAGGCCTCGTTCTGGACCATCCACACTTTTTGAAGGGACGAATACAGAGACCTGGTGCACCGAATGCCACAAGGTTCCCAAACGACACCTCCGCAGGTTTTGAATTCAGAGTTGTCCTTCTCCTAGACCAGTTGCCATCCAAGGCTATAGAACCCAGTCTGTCCTGTTATTTTACCCATAGCTGGAGGGAGAGGAAGAGGATTCATACCTTTCCCAAGGGTATTAACACGTAAGTGAATGTAATGGATTCGACTGGAATTCGAACTCGGCTCTCCTCAATCCAAGCCGCTATCCGCCTCCAACGTCATAATGGCAGCGGAAGAGGGTAGCATTTTAGATGGAATCTTTGAGTGTCTTTTAATCAAAGATTTATAAACAGTTTCAAAAAATTGATCTGCCAAAACATATATTTGATTTCAAAATTTAGAATATTATTATTGATTACTTGTAATTGAATGCATGAGTCCCAGTATAAATAGTTCTAAATAATTATTAGTCGGTTTTATCATTGTGATATGTCGTTGCATTATTTCAAGTATTAAAAATATAGTTAACTGGTATCCGCAAACCGAAGGTGTGTTATCAATGATAATGTTCTGACTTCGAATTCGCGGTTATTTACCTATAACACACTTTCTGTTTTTTTTTTGTTTTGTTTTGTTTTTAAAGAAAAGTACTTTTTATCACATTAAATTTGGTGAGGTGCGAGAAAACTTTCATTACGAAAATGACGTCCAGAGAAAAAAAATACATTAAGTGAAAAATATCGCGATTTAAAGTAAACAATATCAGAATATAAAAGGAGCTTAGAAAATATACTTAATGCACCTGTATGTCACTGAAATTGTTCACAATTTCATACTGGAAAACAACGTTTTAATAAAAACTTAATGTAACTTACCCAGAGAAACATTACAACTCTATGGGTCACTCAGTATCTGTCTATATTTCTGACATGAGGTATTATGTACACTATTTAGATTATTCGGACTATTGTCCTCATCTTTGTGGCCATATTTATTACAAAGTTTCGGCCGTTGTACGCTCTGGTTGTTGGAATGTCGAACTGAACCCTGACATCCATTAAACATGTCACGTGGAACTAGAACAGTCTACCCCAGTGAGCGAAATAAAGGGTTCAGTTCGACATTCCAACCACCTGAAGAAGACCGGAGTGTACAACGGCCGAAACGTTGTAATAAATATAGCGACAAAGATGAGGACAATAGTCCGAATGATCCAAATGGTGTCTATGGGTCCCCTACTATTAATATAGGATCGAGCTATTTCAGCTGATTTCAATGGAAAGAAAACTCAATGTGAGACAGTCACAAATAGTGTTCAAATCATCCAAAAGGTCTTTGCTACTATTGGAAGTGTTTTAAGTTCAAAGATAACCAAAATATTGTTAGACAAGGTAGATGAAAGAAAGACTGAGAGAGTCTCGGAAGGCAATACAAAATTAACCGTCAGAGTAGTGAATGCAATTTTAAAAGTAAGATCTTAGTATTGGGGAGGACGATGACTTCATCCAGCAGAAGGGCCTCTAATCGGAAAATTGAAGCTTTAAGAAAGTGGAGAACTACATCTTAATTTCTGTTATTCCCAGGTCCATCCTGACCCGGCTATGAGCGAATAGTGAGCACTCAAATAAAAAAAATTTATTATATATATATATATATATATATATATATATATATATATATATATATATATATATATGTATATATATATGAAAAGTGTATATAATGTTTTTACCTATCATAATTTTACACAAACCCCACCACACGCATATACATACATGCGAGGAAATATTTTTCAGCGGGAAAACACATAATATGACATGTATACAGTAACGAGACATTTCCGCCACACTTCCAATGATTAAATTTCAACATTTCAACATACAAATGCGTATGTATAGATATAACACCACCCGTATACATACATGTGTCATAGCCGAAACTGCCGACATATGTTTACATATCTATGAGTCCCGACGGACGACCAAGTATGTATATGTGTCTGCATACATTGATGTTTGCGTTAGTACGATGAATGACAAAACGACGAAATTTCCCCGACCACTTCCACAATAACACCAATACACGCAATCTACATAAACCCAAAATTTTTAAAACATTAATCAGTTTGTCTGACGACCGCTAAAGCGTGAAACCCAGGTTAGAGTTATTTTGAATCGGATTCAAGTGAGATTAATTAAAAAAGATCGGATTAAATACATTAGCAAGCAAATATAATGAAAACTGATTTATTGATGTTTTGTCCTAATTAAATTTTCATCCAATACTAGGCGCAAGAGCGACCCGGGGTGGTAGCACGTGTTTGGGTCCCAGTTATGGTTAAATAGTGAACTCCAAACAAAATACAATGAATGTATAAAAATACAGATTTATATTAAAAGTACCAGCATTATATATTTATATAAAAACTTACCAACAAGACAGGTCATAAAGTTTGCATATTTTTTCCTTCGTGTGTCGTGTGAACATGGCTCTCCACAATTTCCTTTTTTTTTAGCTCAAAACAATCTTTGTCTCCTTACTCTCCCTCCTAGGCTCTGTTCTGCAATCCATTTATACAAACTCTTCAGGTAGGTCACTCGATGTCTCCTTCAGCCTCTCTTGACTTCAGTACACCCTGCGAGTGTCAAATCATCCAAGCCCAATTTCTTCCTTACTCTCCCTACTAGGCTCTGTTCTGCAATCCATTTACACAAACTCTTCAGATAGGTCACTCGATGTCTCCTTCGGCCTCTCTTGACTTCAGTACACCCTGCGAGTGTCAAATCATCCAAGCCCAATTTCTTCCTTACTCTCCCTCCTAGGCTCTGTTCTGCAATCCATTTACACAAACTCTTCAGGTAGGTCACTCGATGTCTCCTTCGGCCTCTCTTGAGTTCAGTAAATCCTGGGAGTGCCAAAACATCCAGGGCCAATTTCTTCATTATGTATCCATAAAATTTTAACCGTCTCTTTCTGAATCAAAATAGAATTGTCTTTTTTCTTTCCATTTTTCTTAGAACATTTTTGCTGCTCAAATATTCCGCCAATCCTGGGTATGAGGATAAACAGCATCCGACAGCAAGATCGGAAGATTGGAGATTTTCATGAGCTTGGAACCACCACTTAATTGCTGTTGTTTCCAGGTCGACCCTCATCTGGGATGGTAGCTTCTCTTAGGTTCCAGCTATGGGTAAATAGTGACCCCCCCACCCCAAAAAACATAAACTATATGAAAGTATAAAAATACATTTTTATAGTAAAAATACCAGCAATACATTTTTATATGTAAAAAAAAAATTACCACCAATACCTATTTATAGTAAATTGACTAACAATACATTTTATCTATAGTTGAAGGCATACACTTGCGTTCAAAATTTTTAGATTTCGGCATTAAAATTGATAGACCGCTAAACAAAATCAACCAACCACCAAATGTTCTGTCCACAGAATTCTCAGCATCCTTCTGTGGAACCACGTCTCTGTTGCCTGAAATCCAATATGTGATAGAATTGCCTAGCACCCACTGCCATATAGGAGGATTGATATTCAATAGGAATTCAATACACTTTTCTTTGCTTCTATTAAAATATTTCTGTTTCTTAATAGTTTTCTTAACTTTTGGAAGGTATCTTTTGTGATTCCAATACGCCTTTGGTTTTCGTGGACACATTTTACGTTCTCTGTTGTCAACTGATACATTCTTGAAAAACGAAGACACGGGTTTACTTCTAAGGAAACGATAGAAAATAAGTGTTGGAGAAAAGTAATTTTGTTATTTGTCATGTTTCAATTGATATGCCGCTAAACAATATCAACCAACCAAAACCCAAGTATTTAGATTTCGGCATTAAATATCCCTTAAAGTTTGCCATTCCGCTGAATAAAATCAAGCAAACATCCAACATGAAGGAACACTTTCATGACATTAAACCACATAATATAGAAGAATTTCTTAAATCAAACTGTATTCCAAAATATAACTGCAACAAAACTACAACTTAAAAAGCTCACCACCGCCTCTAGTAATCATGCCCACGCAAACATATATATGCATAAATACCATTTATTCAATTGTGAAAGGATAATTACAATTTATAACTTCCAAGCTCTCAAGAAAATTAGATGTCTGCATTAAATGACCTAGATGGTGTTGATGCGCAAGTGGAATCAAAAGAGTAATATTTCATCATTGGCAGTTATTCATCGTCGTCGTAGTCGCTTCATCTAATTCTGTCTGATGCAGACATTACAGCCTAAGCCACCGTCATTACAGCCGCCATATCGCATAATATGCCCCAAATAACGGGGCATCCCTAGATCCATACGCTTTCTCAATACGTCCGTTGTTCTGGTGTTCTAGCACCCATTTATTACAGCGTTTCGCTGTCCATGACACTAAGAATTCTACGATACGCCCACAACTCAAAAACTTCAATACGGTGTCTTTCCCTTTTGGTCACATGGCTCCCGTCCGTAGCTGACGATGGCGAAGGAAGTAGCTCGTAGTAATATCAATCATGATTATATTCCGATTTTGCCTGTTTTCGTCATAGAACTACTTGTTATTTTTAGACTTCTCATGTTCTCCCGCGTAGAGGCCCAGATACACAAAGTCCTCTACTTCCTCTATCCCCTCACCATACAGTAGAAAGTCTGTGAAGCCTGTGCGGCCCCTGTCAATCATCATTACCTTGGTTTACTTGGTGTTTCACAGAAGACCTCACTGGGCACTGGAATCACTTACAGTTTGTAGTAACGTTATCTGGCTATAAGAACATCAATAAGCATAATAGAAATCTGAATAAATAATTGGAGTAGACAAGCGGACATCTCGCATTGGATGCTGGGAAGTGGCAAAAAGTAAATTTTAGTGATGAATGCAGAATAGGGTTGCATTCTAAAGAGAATATAAAAGAAGACAACTTCAGAAAGAGAAACGAGGCAAGACACTACAAAGACGGTAAAATATGGTGGTGAACAAGTAATGTGCTTGCATCACAATCTACCATTCGTTCATTGCTTTGAATGCTTTTACCATATCTGGTCTGGTGCTCCTGCTGTGCATCTCTAGATTCTTGACAAAATCCAAAGAAGGATTTGTAATGTAATCGATCCTTACCAGATATTTCGACTTCAGTCGCTTTCTCATGAACGTGACGTGGCTTCCCTTCGGTCTTTTCTACAAATATTTTAATGGCAACTAATATGACGAGCTTTTACTCTGGTTCCCCGACTACATGAATTTAAGCGTGCTACTGGATTGGCATCCATAGGTCTCATCTTTTTACTGTTGAAATAACTAAATGCAACTGCCACTTCTACTCCAACAGTTTTCCTCATACTTCTTGCCTGTGGAACTCCCTTCTATTTACTTGCTTTCCTGATAACTACAATCTTCAAAAATTGAAATGCAACATCAATCACCATCTTCTGTCTTTTTTTTTTAAAATCTCATTCATCGTTTGTTAATTCCTCAAACTTCCCTATTCTCTTTTACTTTCACTTTTACTTTTACTTTCACTTTTACTTTCACTTTTACTTTTACTTTCACTCCTAGTAACCCCTTGTCCACCAGTGGCATTCTCGCCTTGCTTGGAGTGATATTATTTAAAAAAAACATGTGAGGAAAGAAGTTGATGGAAACCTAAACAATAAAATCTAATCTTCTGCCAGATTACGAAGATAAAGAAAACTTTTCAGCATTGCAGGTCTCCTTGTCACAACATGTTTCTCGTGGATAAAAATGTTCAATTTTATGAAAACTGGCCAGTGCAGAACAAATGTTCCAATTTAAACCATAAAACCTCCAAGAGTTTTTTTTTTAATTATTGCCGAGAAGAATGGAAAAAGATACCTTAATAAATTCAGAAAGATAACTAATAAATTCAGAAAAATATACCTAATAGATTCAGAAAAAGTTACCTTAATACATTCAGAAAAATATACCTAATAAATTCAGAAAAATATACCTAATAAATTCAGGAAAAGATAATTAATAAATTCAGAAAAATATACCTAATAAATTCAGGAAAAGATAATTAATCAATTCAGAAAAATATACCTAATAAATTCAGGAAAAGATAATTAATAAATTCATAAAAAGATACCTTAATAAATTCAGGAAAAGTTACCTTAATAAATTTAGAAAAAGATACCTAATAAATTCAGAAAAAAAATGCCTGAAATTCAGAAGTTGCCGATTTTTACTGTCTGTAATAATAAAGATCATTTTTGCAACAAAATAAATTCAATTTTTAATTGAAGAAAAGATCTAAAAGATGACTTAATCACTGGTAGTCCAGTAACTTTTGCATGACCATTTGCAGCATCACTATGCTTAAAATGCTCTATCAGCCACCATACAACATTAACGAAAATGCTGTAACATTTTTCTGGTCCTCAAAGATCATAACATTTACGTAGAAAAGTGTACTGTTAATCACTCTCCATTTTTGTATAAAATTAACAAAAGTAATTAATTTACCAAGTTCCCCCAAGGTTTTTGCACGCCTTCCTAACAGTAGACAATTCTAATTTTCTCCTACACTTATTTACATTACATACGTTCGAACAGGAAATAAACTAGTGTGCTGTAATACACTAGGCTTTAAATTTGGTAGCATAGTAATTAATGAATCAATCCCTGAATTTACTTTAGTCTCAATGGTGAAAGTACAAGCAACAACTGAGCAGCTTGTTCAAAATTTGAATGATTTATTCTGTTCTTGGTTAAGTTTAAAGGTAAATATTTAACTGGTTTTTCCTCCGTGTTTTGTACACCACAGCTTGTAGGAGATTGTCCGCCATTGACAATTGATCGACCGATAAATAGATATGAATATATTAACAGATAGATAGATAGATAGATAGATAGATAGATAGATAGATAGATAGATAGATTTTTATATAATAAGAAAGGTATTGAAATAATTATATCTAAGTGGAGAAAGTTAATTTGTGATACGTTTTGTCGTTAAGACTTAATTATATACACACACACAGACACACAGACACACAGACACACACACACACACACACACATATATATATATATATATATATATATATATATATATATATATATATAAAGAGACAGACAGAGAGACAAAAGATAGATAGATAGATAGATAGATAGATAGATAGATAGATAGATAGATAGATTTTTATGTAACAAGAACGGTATTGGGGAAATTATATGACAAAGTCTAAAAAGTTAACATGTGATAGGTTTCATCGTTCAAGAGTTCATCGGACTAAATTATATATATATATATATATATATATATATATATATATATATATATATATATATATATATATATATATATATATATATATAAAGAGAGACAGACAGACAAAAAGACAGATAGATAGATAGATAGATAGATAGATAGATAGATAGATAGATAGATAGATATACAACGCGAATGTCGGCGAATGCTTTCTATGGACAGGCAAATAATCACCCCACGATCATTACCGATCTTGTCGGTGTTCGCCAAAAATTGAGAAATGCCTGCTCAAAAGATAAAACGATGAAAGAAAAGCCATGTTATATATAGATGATTTATTCGCTGATTTGTCTGATCGGGCGGGTGGATAGATAGGTGATACTGGGGACAACTTTTGCTATGTCAATGTTTGCTATGTTCAATCCCTACCAACTGCTCACCCATCTACTCATCCTGTACGTTGCAATGCGAAATGTAGTCTTCTGAACTGCGTCACAGACACATCCGTCTATTGCCAAGGGAGAGGGATGTATATGTGACAATCCCAAACATGACTGTTAATATAGACCAGCATCCGGATATGAACTATTTCCGGTTTTGTTGCCACTTGATCGCCAAAAATCCAGCATACATCATTTTTACTTTTACCCTAACTTTTGATCAAAGATGGCGCATAGACGACCGAATTTCAAAAGGAACTCTCTGCTGGTCCGATCAAAAAGAAAGCGCGATAAAAACATTGCTTCCCTTTCTAGGCGGTTATACATAGTATCATAGATAGATAGATAGATAGATAGATAGATAGATAGATAGATAGATAGATAGATATGAACAGACTGAGATAGATAGATAGATAGATAGATAGATAGATAGATAGATAGATAGATATAATGAACATATCGAAATAGATATTTAGATAATGAACATGTTGCGATAGATAGATAGATAGATAGATAGATAGATAGATAGATAGATAGATATGAACAGACGGAGATAGATAGATAGATAGATAGATAGATAGATAGATAGATAGATAGATAGATAGATAAATAGATAGATAGATAGATATGAACAGACGGAGATAGATAGATAGATAGATAGATAATGAACATATCGAAATAGATATTTAGATAATGAACATGTTGCGATAGATAGATAGATAGATAGATAGATAGATAGATAGATAGATATGAACAGACGGAGATAGATAGATAGATAGATAGATAGATAGATAGATAGATAATGAACATATCGAAATAGATATTTAGATAATGAAAACGATAGATAGATAGATAGATAGATAGATAGATAGATAGATAGATAGATAGATAGACATTAACAGAGGTGAATATGAACATAAATATGAAAAGACTGAAATATGTACACAGAATGACATGCATAGACAGAGATTAGATACGATTGCTCTCTATAGTATCACTTTATAGATAGATAGATAGATAGATAGATAGATAGATAGATAGATAGATAGATAGATGTGTATCTGTAAATGTTTCTGACTTCTATGCTCCAATGAGCTGAACAGTATACTCGCTTTTGGACATCCAATAAAGGTTACACCATTTGCTTCAATGTTTTAAGAGCTAATACTTCCATAAGAAGCATTTCCCTTAGATCGTTCCAAGAGTGTTTTTGCCACTGCTGTTTGCCTATTCTTACGATTTCCCGTTGCGCCATACATAGCCCGATTCATTTCATGGACACATCGTCGTCACTGTGCACAATCAGCGTCATTCACGATACGCCGGCCAGAAATAATAGGCGAAAGAGATCGATATGAGTTCGTAAAAGGAACTCTTGGAAATTCATCCTAAAAGGTGGTTTAAATATAAATTAATATCAGTCGAAAACATCTCTCTCTCTCTTCTCTCGATATTTATTGGTCTGTCTGTCTATTTATCTCATTTTATTTTTCATATCTACGTCTATCTAATTCTGCTCTCTCTCTCTCTATCAATCACTCTCTCTCTCTCTATCAATCTCTCTCTCTCTCTCTCTATATATATATATATATATATATATATATATATATATATATATATATAATATATATATATTTATCTCAGTATTTATATTTGTGTATTTCACTATGTTCATATTAATTTTTTTCTCGCACTTCTCGCTTGTGAAACACTCTCTCAGGTTCCTGCCTCCCAGCGAAATTTGATCTACAAAAATTTAAATACAATGTCAATCGTTATCAACTCTCTTCCTGATTCCTCTTCTTTTATTTCCTTTCTTCTTAATGACGTTTTACTTTTTATTATTAAATGCATACAGCAATCCCTTCTGTCTTAGCAGCCTTATTGCCTTAATGGGGGTGAAATGATCAATATATATATATATATATATATATATATATATATTCACAATGCACAACAGCCGAAACGTAGTGAATATGAAAATGAAGATGAGACCAACAGTCCGACCAATGTAAATAGTGCAAATAATTACAGTACCTTATCTCAGTAATGTAGACAGATTCTGAAGAAGGCTGGAGCACACAACGGCTGAAATGTCGTGAATATGGCAACGAAGATGAGGACAATAGTATATATATATCAAGACATTTTATGTTTATACATTCTTTTTATAGATACAAATATTTAAGTAAATGCTCCGTTTTATAATAGGCAGTATTTATAACATTTACCGGCCTGAATGTCCGAGAAATTTTCATAGAAAATATTCGTCCTCCAACAGGATTCGAACCTGTACCCTATTCGGAACCGTCATTTCTGTATTTTTTACACTCGAACTGGAAAACAGCGTAATGGATTAACGCGTTATTTTGTGTGTATAGTGTACCTCTAATCGTGAGTTCAATCCCTGGGTCAGGTAATACAAGCTCAGTCAGTGGAAACCAGGTGAGAAATAATAAAACGAACATCATAGGATATTTCTAGACGTGAATAATCTACTCGTATAGATTAAATAAAGGGATCGACCTGTAGATGTTCGGAATGAACAACGGCCGAAACGCTGTGACAACAACAATGAGTGCATTTTTCTGAATTTAAATAATGATAATTCCTCATCTCAGAAATTCCCGAAAATTATTTTAAATTTGGTCTGGAATTATTTTGAATCGGATTACAGTTGAGACTAATTAAAAAGGATTAAATTAAATTCATTAACAAGCAAATATAGGGGAAAATAATTTATTGATGTTTTTTTTACCTAATTAAATTTTCATCCAATACTAGGCCCAAGAGCCACCCAAGGTAGACGGTTGCTAAAATGTTATGGACGTAGAAAGGGGAAAGAGAAGCAAGTGCATATTGCGAAGACATGGTCCACCGTTATCTTTCTGACTTTAGACTTTAAAATGTTATGATGGTAGTGTTCGAGAAAGGATCCTCGGGGGAGTCTGTTCGACGAAAGTAGCGGCTCTTTTCAAGAAACTGTCTGAATTGAAGTTCTTTCCTGCTAGTGGAATATCGCTCTGTCGGCTAGGGCTTCAGAACCGCAACCCCTCCCCAATGAGGCGTCCTTGGTATGAGGATAGACTACATCCGGCTGGAAGGCCTCTGATCAGGAGGTTTTGAGGAGCGTGGAACCACCTCTAAATTTCTAGTGTTTCCAGCTCCACCCTGACATGAGTGGGTTGCAACTGTTAGGGTGCCAGCTACGAGCAAATAGTTACCCCCCCACCACCACCACCACCAAAAAAAAAAAAAGAAAAACTGGGTCAAAACATTATGAAAGAGTATAAATAAGTTTTAATAACAGCAATACATTTTTGGGAAAAAAAATTACAATATTACCAGCAACAAAAAGCTTTCAGCAACTCAATGGCGTTGATATGCCATAAAACAAACGATACCAAACTAACGGAATACAAAACGAATGAGTGTGGTTCGCACATGCGTATATGGCACGGCGAGTTTTAGCTGTAAATGTCTGACAGAGACAATGTCAAATATCAGAATATTTTTCACGGATACATCGATAAATTTGCGAGTAGGTTGTGTCTATAGAAGGGATATTGTAGAATGGAATATAATTCAACTCATACAAGCCAATATAAAATTATGTATTATTAAAATTATGCATTATGAAATATTGTAGAATGGAATATAATTCATCTCATACAAGCCAGTATAAAATTATGTATTATTAGAGGTCAACTAGATTATAGATTTGTGGCGTTGCTATGTCCAGCCATGTAAGGGTTATTCATTTTTTTCTGAGGATTAGTCAGAGGGAATTTAGTGAGGTCTACAAAAGGTACCATATGTGTAGAATGGTGTTTAGATTTGGTGAGCAGGAGATCAACGAAGAATATGAAAGTTAGTTATCCTGGTTGCATCTCACCTGCATACAATGAGTGCTGTATTATCTTGTTGGAGGATTATCTTTTTTTGATTGATTCGTTTTCTACGGCTTGTCAACCCTTTGCAGGTTATTTAAAGCCAGAAAATATTTTTAGATTGTAAGAATATATTTTGGTGATAATAATGGTTTACAAGTCTTACTAATTTCTTCTTTTAATTTCTTCTGCTTAATCAATAGATTGATTGATTGACTGATTCGTTTTCTACGGATTATCACCTTTGTGCCGGTTATTTAAAATCAGGAATTATTTTTACATTGCAAGGATTATTTTAGTGGATCGAGGGGGAGATAATAATGATTTAGTGATACAATTCTTAATAATGAACCCCTAAACTGGGGAGAAGAGGATGATTCATATTTTTCCCAA